GGAATTCCTGGCTGCAGCTCCTTTATCCCCATGGGTGCTCCCTGGTGAGCTCCGAGGCAGTGCCTGTGCCCTGGATCTCCTCCATGTGCTGAGCGGACGCGGCTCAGCAGCTCCCAGGCTGTTCCTTCTGCTCTCTCCTCCAGGAGTGTTACAATGACTGGCATTCACCATGTTTTCTTCCCTTTCCTGCTTTTATCCAAGCTTTTTTGGCCTCTCCCTGGCCCTCCCAGGGGGGGTGGTGTTGTTTACAGTGCCCAGACGTTGCAGCCAAGTCCTGCAGGCTCGAGCCCCCTTCGCTCCCCTCGTCTCCTTCCTCCCTTTCCTCCGATGGAACCGGAGGCCCTGCTGGGTCCCAGAGGATTTGGTGTTTCCCTGCTGGGCTGGGGGAGTCCCGTGGTGTCACAGGATGGATTGAGCTGCTCAGGTGCTGCGGGTTGGCTCTTCTTGGGTGGTTGTTGTTGGACCTGTGGCTGAGCATCCCCCGCCAGGATCACAGGCTGGTCACCGAGGGTTCCCTTGGCTCCCCTGGAGCTGCTCTGCTGAGGCACAGCTGGGAAAACAGGGAAATCACACCAGATTCCTCCGAGCTGGGCTGATTCCTGCCGGGCACTGCTCCTGCCTGGCCCGTGGAGGCTGCTGGGTGCTGCTTCCAGCCGGGCCTGGATGCTCAGCTGGTGCAGGCTGGCACTGGGATCCTTCCCTTTCTCCCGGGTCCTGCAGAGCCCTCTGACATCACCAACACTACTGAATATCCCGGGGGTGGGGAGGGGGCCAGGGAATTCCCGAGGTGTGGTTCAGACAGGGAGCAAAGCTCCGGGGCTGGGCTGGGGCTGAGCCCAGGCTGTGTCACCTCCTGGGACCCTGCAGGGCTGAGCCCAGGCTGTGTCAGCTCCTGGGACCCTGCAGGGCTGACCCCAGGCTGTGTCACCTCCTGGGACCCTGCAGGGCTGAGCCCAGGCTGTGTCACCTCCTGGGACCCTGCAGGGCTGAGCCCAGGTTGTGTCAGCTTCTGGGACCCTGCAGGGCTGAGCCCAGGCTGTGTCAGCTCCAGGGCCCTGGGGGTAAAGCACACATTGCTCTGTGCAGCAAAAACAGCTTCTCCCAGGAAATAACAAGCCCAGTGCTGCCCCGTGCAGGATCTCTCCTGGCTCTTGTCTGGGCAGTGGAAAAGTACTCCTCTGTCCCTTCCCCGCAGCGTGGCAGCAGAACAGGGATCACAGTGTTTGCTCCAGCAGCTGCTGGGCAGGAGGGAAGGGCAGCCGTGGGCATGGAGGGAAGGAAAGGCTTCCAGCCCTGCCACCCATGGGCAGGGGCACCAGCTGGACACTCCCCAAGAAGCCCTGCTCCAGATCCAGCTGGGAAAGGCAGGATCCCTGTCCACAGGGATCACACAGGGATGCCTTGACTGTGGCTGTCAGGCAGGGATCCCCTGGGGATGGACAGTGGCTTCCCAATGCCAGAGGGCAGTGTTAGGTGGGATAGTGGGAAGGAATTCTTGGCTGTGAGGATAAGGAGGCCCTGGCGCAGGTTGCCCAGAGAAGCTGTGGCTGCCCCATCCCTGGAAGTGTTCCAGGCCGGGTTGGACGGGGCTTGGAGCAACCTGGGCTAGTGGAAGGTGTCCCTGCCCATGGCAGGGGGTGGGACTGGGTGGGCTTTCAGGTCCCTTCCCACCCAAGTCATCCTGGGATTTGGTGATTCTGTGACAGGGCTGGGTGCCAGGGATGCCCCTCACGCCCTGGAGGGGGGAGCTCTGTCTCTGCCCATCCTGCTGGGTGTTGTCCTTAAATGTTTCCCTCCCTGTTCTCCTTGTTCCTGGAGCACAGCTGGGCGCCAGGTTGGTTTTCCTGGCTGACTGACCAGCCCTGCTGTTTTCTGTCCCAGCTCTGCTCCTTCCTTGAGGCTCCTCCAGCCTTGCCCAGCTCAATGTTCATTACTGGCTCCCCACGGCTGTGCCAGTGTCAGAGCTCATCCTGCCCTGTGCCAGTGCCTCCTCACCGTCAGCCACTCCGGCATCTGGGCTGGGTTAGTGCTGAGACCGTGGTTTTGTGAGAGACAGGATCAAATGCTTCACTGGAATCAAAATATTTTCCTCCTCGTGCGTTCCCTTCACCTGCTCGTTGTGTAACAGGGTGGCAGGGACAGAACAGGTTTGTCTGGCACCGAGGAATCCGCGGGTGGAGCTGCCCTGCTGGGGGCACCCTGGGTGTCCCCAGCCCCCTGTCCCAGCCCGTGGTGCTCCTGGCATGGGGACAATTGCAGCTACTGAGGGACAGGTGGATGTGTCACCACTCAGGGCTGCTGGTGGTCCCAGTCCCACCCTGGGGATGGAGGGGCTGCTGGTGGTCCCTGTCCCCTCCCTGGGGACAAAGGGGCTGCTGGTGGTCCCTGTCCCCTCCCTGGGGACAAAAGGGCTGCTGGTGGCCCAGCTGGTGCTGAAGGGGCCCTGGAGGCAGAGCTGGGAGCTGGGAGTGGAGCCTGGGATCCCGGAGCACGTTGCTGCAGCCCCTGTCCCTCGGCACAGACAGTCCCAGGGGCTCTGCCTGTGCTGCCACTCCCTGTCCCTGTCCCTCGGTGCCCTGCAGGACAGGGTTCAGGTGTCCCTGACTGGGGCCTCAGCCCTCTCAGCTCATGTTTTTTCCCTTTCCCATGTTTTCCAAAGTGATTCCTGTGTTGCAACAGCCACCCCTGCCCTGCCTGGGGCCACAGTGAGGGGAGGGATGAGGGGCACGGCCTTGGCCAGGGCCAAGGGACGAGGTCTGGGGGGAGAACAGCGGGGCCCAGTGCCAGCAGAGCCTGCAGGGACCCCCTGTCCATGGGGTGTCCCTGTGCCCAGCACCCCCTGATCCTGAGCCATGAACAGAGCCGGACACAGCCCTCCCTGTCCCCAGCTCATGGGACACCAGCCCAGGGGGCCAGGCTGGGATTTACTCTCAAAAGGGTTTTCCAGGCACGTTGTGTTCCCTGCTCAGCCCTGTGGCCCAGCAAATCCCACCTCTTCCCAGTGCTGAAGTGTCAGGGTGGCACAAGGAGTGGGGCAGTGGGAGCACACAGTGAGTGGAGAATGGTGGAATGATTTGGGTGGGAAGGGACCGTTCCAACCTCCCTGCCATGCCAAAGGGAAGCCTTTCCCCATTGCTCCAGGCCCTGTTCCTGCCTCGTCCCACAGCTGCTCTCCCAGCCCCACATTCTCATCCCACAGCTGCTCCCCCAACCCCACATCCTCATCCATGAGCCTGTTCCCGTGCCTGCCTCGTCCCACAGCTGCACTGCCAGCCCCACATCCTCATCCCACAGCTGCTCCCCCAGCCCCACATCCTCATCCCTGAGCCCGTTCCCGTGCCTGCCTCGTCCCACAACTGCTCTCCCAGCCCCACATCCTCATCCCTGAGCCTGTTCCTGTGCCTACCTCATCCCACAGCTGCTGTCCCGGCCCCCTGAGCCCATTCCCGTGCCTGGTTCAGCCCTCGCTGACGAGAAGAGCTCAAAAGGGAGCGATTTATTGGAAGCTGCAACCTGATCCTTGGTGCAGCTCCAGTGCCTCATCCCTAGCACCAGCCAAGCACTTTCTGGAAGTGGTGCCCACCAGCAGCACCCCCGGAGCTGCCAGGGACGTCGGGAGGGGGCTGAGGGATGAGCAGGGGTCCTGTGCCGGTGCCTTCTGTCCCAGCCAGGCTGTGGGACAGTGCCACGTTTATTTCCTCATGGAGGCAGTCCCAGAGCCCCGAGCTGCAGCAGCTGCTGGGGATCAGTTTTATTCTCCCTCGGCACAAGACAGAGCACGTTCCTGTCTGCACGGAGAGGGGGATGTGCTGCTCCCCCCCCCCGCAGGCCTGGCTGCTCTTCCCACCACGTTCCAGAGCCTCCCGGGTCCCAGCAGATCCACTCCCCCAGCCCCAGGCACTGGGATGGCCCTTGGGCTCAGAGCAGCTCGTTCAGGGCTGGGAGGGACCACCCCGGGCTCCTGCTGCGGGTGCCCAGAATGAGATGGGCCTTAAGGTCCCTTCAACCCAAACCATTCTGGGATTCCCTGACGATTCTGTGATTCCTGCACTGGCTCTGTGTGCACTGGGAGGGCTGCTGGGATCACTGAGAGGGCTGCTGGGATCTCTGGGAAGGCTGCTGGGATCACTGGGAAGGGCTGCTGGGATCACTGGGAAGGCTGCTGGGATCACTGGGAAGGGCTGCTGGGGTCACTGGGAAGGCTGCTGGGGTCACTGGGAGGGCTGCTGGGATCACTGGGAGGGCTGTGGCCGGCGGGGCCAGCTGGGGCTGTCCGTGCTGGGCTTTGTGTGGAGCACGTGGAGCCTGTGCCGGGCAGGAGAAGGAACAGAGGTGCTTTGTGTGCCCACAGCAGGAACTGGGCCATGAACTGCCCAGGCAGACCCTTCTAATGAGCTGGGGGAGCTGAGCCTGCCCCGAGTCTGGGTGGGATCAGTCCTGAGAGAGGGTGAGCCCCAGAGCCAGGTGAGCCCCAGAGCCAGGTGAGCCCCAGGCCCCAGCAGTGGGACCAGCCCCAGCAGCAGGATGAGCCCCAGGCCCTGGCAGGGAGTGTAAGAGCACAGGGGCTGGGACTCTGCTCTCCTGGGGCAGGAATCGGCTTTCAGTCGGGTTTATTTTTTATTTAGCTCTTTATTTATGTGTTTATGCTGGGAACTGCCAGTCATTCCAAAAGCTCCATTGCTCTGTCAGTGGCGTGGAGGTAACTGTGCAACAAAGGTGCATTCACAGTGTACACACCACAGTAGTGGGTTCAGGGGGTCAGGAAAGCTCGGAATTCATTCCCAGTGGTGGCTGGAGGTGGGTCAGACAAACCAGTTCAGATAAACCAGTAAGGTCTGTGGAATGGGCCGTTGTTGTGCCACCTAAAGGCGAAAAAAATAATGGATTTTGCTCTGTGGAGCAGGTGGTGCCGTCCCATCCTCAGGGCTGGGGTCCCCCCCAGACCACCCCTGTCCCCCCAGCACGTCCCCTGGGGGGTCTCACACCTTCCCTGCCCACAGGTGAACCAGGGGAACATGCCAGGCATCCAGAGCACGTTCCTGGCCATGGACACGGAGGAGGGGGTGGAGGTGGTGTGGAACGAGCTGCTCTTCACCGACAAGAAGGCCTTCAAAGCACACGAGGTGAGTGACCCACGTGGGGGTCCTGAGACCCCCCCAGCACGGCCTGGCGGGATGGGCTCCTGCCCTTCCCTCTGCCTTCCTCAGTTATCCCTCAAAGGCAGCTCCAGTGTCCTCCAGACCCCACACCCGTGTCCCTGTGTCCCAGCTCTCAGGGGCGTCCTGTCACAACCCAGGACCTGTCACCTCCCCTGTCCTGTCACAACCCAGGACCTGCCACCTCCCCTGTCCTGTCACAGCCCAGGACCTGCCACCTCCCCTGTCCTGCCCTGTCCCAGGACACCCCTCACGTGTCCCCTGTGTGCCCCCAGGAGAAGATCAAGACCATGTTCGAGCAGCTGGTGCTGGTGGATCACCCCAACATCGTGAAGCTCCACAAGTACTGGCTGGACGTGAAGGACTCGAAGGCACGGGTAGGGGGGGCCCCAGGGGTCCCTGGGGGAGTGGGGTGGGGGGTCCCAGCCCTGCTCCTCACCCCACTCCCCAACCTCCCCTTCCCTCTGCGGGCCCTGCCCCCAGCAGCCCCTCACCTGTGCGGGGCCAGGGGGAGCTGATCCTGCTCTTCTCCCTCCCCAGGTCATCTTCATCACGGAATACGTGTCCTCAGGGAGCCTCAAACAGTTCCTGAAGAAAACCAAGAAGAACCACAAGGCCATGAATGCCCGGGTACGTTCCTGGGAGCACACACAGGTGTCCCGGGTGGGCTGGGTGGCTCTGGGAGGGTCTCTGGGACCCTCCAGGGCAGGGCAGGTGGGGGTCATTGCTCCAGGACCTGCTGTGGGAAGGGGGCTGGAGCAAGAGCAGAACTGCCCCGGGAGAGCCTGGACTGGGTCCTGCTGACCCCAGGGTGGGACCCCACTGGGAGCACCTGGTGTGGGTGACACTGTCCTGGGGAGCTTCCCAGCACCCTGAGCCAGAGCTGGGACAAGGGACAAGGGACCAGTGTCACTGCAAACCCCCTGCCCAGCTGGGGGGTGAGGAACTTCAAGACCATCCAGTCCCACCCCTTCCACTATCCCAGGTGCTCCAAGCCCTGTCCAACCTGGCCTCGGACACTTCCAGGGATGGGGCAGCCACAGCTTCTCTGGGCAACCTGTGCCAGGGCCTCACCACCCCCACAGCCAAGAATTCCTTCCCAATATCCCACCCAACCCTGCCCCCTGGCACTGGGAAGCCATTCCCTTGTCCAGAGTCCCTCCCAGCTCTCCTGCAGCTTTGAGCCTTTGCTGGGCTCCCTTGAACAGGGGGAACAGGGGGGCTGCTGTGGTGGGACAGCGTGGGATCCATCCTTGAGCCTCTGCAGGGCACGTCCCTGGGAGTGGGGGGGAAGGACCCTGAGCTTGGGCAGGGCACAGGGGGATGTCCTTGCCCCTGGGAATGGGTGGGAAGGACCCGGCCTGGCAGTGGGATGCCCGTGGGATGCCCGGCTGACAGAGCTCTGATCCCTCTCCAGGCCTGGAAGCGCTGGTGCACCCAGATCCTCTCGGCTCTCAGGTACAGCCAAGCCCTCGCCTGGCTCCCTCCCCTGCCCTGGGGGGTCCTGGCTGAGCTCAGGACCCCCCTGTGCCCTCCCAGCTTCCTGCACTCCTGTGAGCCCCCATCATCCACGGCAACCTGACCAGTGACACCATCTTCATCCAGCACAACGGGCTCATCAAGATCGGCTCAGGTGGGCTCAGCACCAGCTCCGGGTTGGATCCTGTGGGAAAGCCATCCCAGCTGGGAATGGGATCCCAGCACAGCCAAGGGGGGCTCTGGAAGGGGCAGCTCGGGGCTCAGGAACACCCAGGGAACATGTGGGGCACAGGGAGGGAGGACCTTTGGGCCATGGGAAAGCTCAGGGTGCCCTTGGATCCCCTCCTGGAATAATTCTGGGTAGGCTTGAGGGGATAAATGGGAAAGGTTCAGGCAGGGAAGTGGAGGAGGGGGGAAAGGAGTGTGGGAAGGGCAGGGCAGGGGCAGGGGAGGGCAACGCTGGCTCGGCTCTGAGGGGGTCTCAGGATGGGGACAGGGGTCATGTGAGGGGGTCTCAGGATGGGGACAGGGGTCATGTGAGGGGGTCTCAGGGTGGGCACAGGGGTCATGTGGGGGGGTCTCAGGGTGGGCACAGGGGTCATGTGAGGGGGTCCCGGCTGGGCAGGAGTACCGGGAGCTTGGGGGGTCCCTCTGGGGTCCCTCCCAAACCTTGGTGTTCCCTTCTCTCCTCTTGGTGCCCCCTCTCCGTCCCTCCCTGCTCGGCTCTGGCTCACCGGCAGTTTGGCACCGGGTGTTTGCCAACGGTGAGTGTCCCACTGCCCCCCCTGCCCCTGGGGCACCCCCGCGGCCCCTGAGACCCCCTGGTGAGGCACCAGGCACGGGGAGGGGTCCTGGGCTCTGCGGGCTGGGGGGGATCTTCATCCCTCAGGGAATTTCTGCTCCTGTGGGGGAGCAGGGAGGGGAGGGTGTCCGGGGGGGAGTCTGTGGGGCACACACGGACCCCCCCTCAGAGCCCCTGTGGGTGGGCAGGGGCACACACAGTCCCCCCCTCAGAGTCCCCACTGAACACGTTCCCCCCCAGCCCTCCCAGACGACCTGAGAAGCCCCATCAGGATCGAGAGGGAAGAGCTGCGGAATCTCCACTTCTTCCCACCGGAGTATGGCCGTGAGTGGGGGGCTGGGATGGGGGCTGGGCTGGGGGGAGGCACAGCTGTGAGTGGGGGGGTGATGGGGGCAAAGCTGTGCCTGTGGGAATGTCTGGGTTTAGTGATTGATCCCGGTCGGGAACTGGATCCCAGCACGGCCAAGGGTGGCTCTGGAAGGGGCAGCTCAGGGCTCAGGAACACCCAGGAGTACGTGGGGAAAAGGGGAAAGGACCTTTGGGCCATGGGAAAGCTCAGGGTGCCCTTGGATCCCCTCCTGGAATAATTCTGGGCAGATTTGGCAGGATAAATGGGAAAGGTTTGTCAGGGAAGTGTGAGGTGGGGGAAGGGTGTGAGCAGGGGAGGGCACAGAGGACAGGGATGGTGGGACAGCAGGCACAGCAGGACAGGGGCACCAGAGCAGTGGGGAGAGCAGGATGGGATGGTGGGACATTGGGGACAGCAGGATGGGGGTGCCAGGACACTGGGAATGACGGGATGGTGGCACTGGGCACTACAGGTGGCACAACAGGGTTGTCAGGGCACTGGGGACAGCAGGACAGGGATGGTGAGGCTCTGGGAATGGCAGGATGGTGGCACTGGGGTGCTGGGCACGGCAGGACAGGGGCAGTGGGACATAGGGGACAGCAGGGCAGTGGCACTGGGGCGGGACAGGGGCAGTGGGACGTAGGGGACAGCAGGGCAGTGGCACTGGGGCTGGACAGAGGCAGTGGGACGTAGGAGACAGTGGGACAGTGGCACTGGGGCTGGCAGGACGGGGGCCCTGGAGCACTGGGGGGAGCACAGTGGCAGCACTGGGACCCTGGGGAGAGCGTGGTGGGGGCACCAGGGCTGCCAGAATGGGGCCAGTCCCCAGGTGAGGGCGGGTGGGGGGTCCCAGGAGGGGGCCCAGGCCCCGGGTGCTCCCAGCCTGACGTGTCCCGGCTCCTGTTGCAGAGAAGACGGACGGGACGGCCGTGGACATCTTCTCCTTCGGGATGTGTGCGCTGGAGGTGGGGCAGGGGTGGGCACTGGGAACCTGTGGGACCCTGCTCTGGGGGGAGAGCCATGGCCTGGGGTCTTCCCAGGGGGCTCCAGGCCCTTGTCTGGGGGTGTCCCTTGTCCCTGCCCTGCCCAGGGGTGTCCCTTATCCTGGAGTGTCCCTTATCCCGAGGTGTCCCCTATCCTGGGTTGTCCCTTGTCCCAGGGTGTCCCTTATCCTGGGGTGTCCCTTATCCTGAGGTGTCCTTTGTCCAGGGGTGTCCCTTATCCTGGAGTGTCCCTTGTCTGGGGGTGTCCCTTGTCCTGGGTTGTCCCTTGTCCCAGGGTGTCCTTGTCCCTGCCCTGCCCGAGGGTGTCCCTTACCCAGGGGCAGCCCTTGTCCGTGGGTGTCCCTTGTCCAGGGATTGTCCCTTGTGGCTGCCCTGCCCGGGGGTGTCCCTTGGGAAGCCCCCATGGATCTGCTGCCCCTCCCAGATGGCCGTGCTGGAGATCCAGACCAACGGGGACACACGGGTGTCGGAGGAGGCCATCGCGAGGGCCCGGCATTCCCTGGACGATCCCAACATGAGGGTGAGTGTGGCTGGAGGGGCCTGGGGGCCCTGCTGGGGGTCGGGCAGCCCTCCCGGGCAGTCCTCCTGGGGGTAATTCCTTGTCCCGAATCCCTCCTGGGTGTAAATTCCATCCCAAATCCCTCCTGGGTGTAACCATCCCCATGCTCTGGGAAATCCATCGAACCCTCCTGGGCATAAATCCCATCCTGAATCCTTCCCGGGTGTAAATCCCACCCTCCATGCCTCCTGGGTTTAAATCCCATCCCAAATCCCTCCTGGGTGTAAATCCCATCCCAAATCCCTCCTGGGTTTAAATCCAATCCTCCATCCTTCCTGGATGTAAATCCCATCCCGAATCCCTCCCGGGTGTAAATCCTATCCTGAATCCCACACACCAGCCATGACCTTTGATCCTCCTCCATCTTCCGCCCTGATCCAACTCCCCCTCCCCCTTTCCTCTTCCTTTGGCCAATCTCCAAAACATCCCATAATGAGTTGGGTGCGTTCCCCAGATTCTCTTGTTTGATCTCAGAATTCCTTCAGGCATCCCACAGAAAATCCTGCCCCCTCAGATCCCACAGCCCTGTGTTTGCAGGAGGCCCAGGGAGTCTCTGAGGGCCTCTGGGGGAGGGGGTTCCGAGGGTCCGGTCTGGGGACACCCCCCTGGCACCCTTGGGATCATTTTTGGGTCTGTCCTGGGTGTCCTGGCCCGATCCCTGTCAGCAGCAGGCAGGAGGGCAGGCCTAGAGCGAGGGAGGGGCAGTAGATGAGGATTTCCTGCAGTCAGAGAGCAGGAACAGGGAGATCCCTCCCATCCCACTGCTCATCCTGCCCTTTCCCCGCTCCCACCACCACATTCCTGCTGGGGCTGCTCCTGCTCCTGCCCCTCCTCCTGCAGGGATGGGGCTCAGGGGGGACTCTGCCTGGGTTTCCTCCCCACCTGGGGCTCCCTGTCCTGGGCTCCCACTGTGGAAACACCCCCTTGGATCTGCTTCCCAGGAAATTGTATCAGCCCCAGTGTAGGCCCTGGATAGAGGCCATCCCCCTTTGCTGGGCACTGCTGGGGTATCCCAAATCCTGGGGGCAGCTTTGGGATCCCCAGGAACGGGACACTGAGGGGCTGGAGCGTGTCCAGGGAAGGGAAGGGAGCTGGGAAGGGGCTGGAGCAGCAGGAGGGGCTGAGGGAGCTGGGGGGGCTCAGCCTGGAGAAAAGGAGGCTCAGGGGGGACCTTCTGGCTCTGCAATCCCTGACAGGAGGGGGGAGCCAGGGTGGGTCGGGCTCTGTTCCCAGGGAACAGGGACAGGAGGAGAGGGAACAGCCTCAGGCTGTGCCAGGGGAGGGGCAGGAGGGACATCAGGAGGAATTTCTGCCTGGAAAGGGTGGTCAGGCCTTGGCAGGGGCTGCCCAGGGAGGTTTGGAGTGCCCAGCCCTGGAGGTGTCCAAGGCAGGTCTGGCCGTGGCACTCAGTGCTCTGGGCTGGGGGACAGGGTGGGGATGGGGCACAGGGGGGATCCACGGGCTGGGAGGGCTTTTCCAGCCTCAGTGATCCCGGGATTCAGAGAAATGTGGTGTGAGAGGAGCCAGGGCCGGAGCAGGGAACGCCCTGCTCTGCTGCAGCCCCTGCTGTGACCCTCCAGGAGTTCATCCTGTCCTGCCTGACCCTGAACCCCGACAAGCGCCCGACCGCCCACAACCTGCTCTTCCACCGCGTGCTCTTCGAGGTGCACTCGCTGAAGCTCCTGGCGGCCCACTGCTTCATCAACCACCAGTGTGAGTGCTGGCACCGCCCTCCAGGGTGCCCAGGGGCTCTCATCCCACCGAGCCAGGGGCTGGGCAGCAGCTCCCACCCCACAGGACACACCAACCCACCCCCCCTTCCTCTGCCCCAGATCTGATGCCAGAGAATGTGGTGGAGGAGAAGATAAAGGAGCTGGACCTGAACATGGTGATGGCTGAGATCCGCAGGGAGGGGCGGCCTGGAGCGCAGTGGAGGTGAGGATGGGGGAGATCCCATGGCTGGGAGCCTGGGCTGTGCTTCCAGCCTGGAGATCCCAGTGCCAGGGCCCTGCTTCCAGCCTGGAGATCCCAGTGCCAGGGCTGTTTTTCCAGCCTGGAGATCCCAGTGCCAGGGCTGTTTTTCCAGCCTGGAGATCCCAGTGCCAGGGCGCTGCTTCCAGCCTGGAGATCCCAGTGCCAGGGCTGGCAATCCAGCTTGGAAATCCCAGTTCCACAGCCCAGTGATCCAGCCTGGAGATCCTGGTGCCAGGGCCCAGCAGTCCTTCACATCCCTCCTGCCTTCCTTCTCCCAGGTACTCGGAGGTCTCCTTCCTCGAGCTTGACAAGTTCTTGGAGGATGTCAGGTGAGTTGGAGGTGGTTCTGGCCATGCTGTGTCTGCCCATCTCTGTTCCCACCTCTGTTCCCACCTCTGTTCCCGCCATCTCTGTTTCCATCTCTGTTTCCATCTCTTTTCCCACCATCTCTGTTTCCATCTCTGTTTCCATCTGTTTCCATCTCTGTTCTCATCTCTGCTCCCATCTCTGCTCCCATCTCTGTTTCCATCTCTGTTCCCACCTGTTCCCATCTCTGCTCCCAGTTCCATTCCCATCTCTGCTCCCAGTCTGCTCCCAGCTCTGCTCCCCTCTGCTCTCAGCTCCCCGGGATCCTGGAGCCAGGATGGGCACCCAGGGAGTGTTCTGTCCCCTCCCTCAGAGGTGCTCAGTGTGCTGTCCCCTCCGTGGTGTCCCCGTGCTGCCCATCCCTGCTCCGTGGCCTTCCAGGGCCTCTGCCAGGGACAGGGCTCAGCTTTGTCCCCCCTGTGTCTGCCCCAGGAATGGGATTTACCCCCTGATGAACTTCGCCGTCTCCAGACCCCACGCCCTCCCCCGTGTGCTCTCCCAGCCCCAGGAGGACCCCCAGAAAGCCAAGACTCCCACCCCAGAGCCCTTCGATGTGGAGACCAGGAAGGTAAGGCCAGAGCCAGGTCAGGCTGGGAACAGAGGGCTCCATCCCGACAGCTGCAGGAACTGCTCCCCTGTTATCCCGTTATCCATGGCCCAGGGGGGAGCTGGGAGAGCCCCAGGGCTGCCACGGGCTGGAACTCCTGGTCTCCATTCCCCCAGGACCCTCTGGAGCAGGACCCTCTGCCCCAGCCCTTCGGCTCTGCCTTCCCTGCTCACACCCCCGTCCCTGCCCCTCACGGGGCTGGGGGGGCTGCAGTGGCACCTGGAGGTGCCACCAGGCTCTGGTCCCCCCTGGGGACACAGCCCTGACCCTGGAGGTCATTGCAGGGGTTATGGCCTCAGGTTGTGTCAGGGAAGGTTTAGACTGGATCAGATCCCATGGGATTCCTCCCTTCCAGAGTCCAGCAGCGCCAGCCCATCCTGGTTCCGCTGGGAACCAGCTCCCAGGGCACTTCTCTGGGCCTTGGTCCCCCTGCTCAGGGCTTGGGGTCCTTGGGAGCCAGGGGGAGCCATGGGACACGTCAGGACTGGGAATGGGAACCGTGTGGTCCCTTTCCCATGGGATACGAGCTGCTTTTCCAGCCAGGGTCCCAGGGGCAGCTCTGCAGGTGCCTCACCTGCCTGACCAGGGTGTCCCACCAGTCCTTCTCGGTTTGACAAGGACCAGGAATCCCGGGCTCCATGGAAACTTGCAGCTGGACAAGCTGCAAATCCCAGAGGAGCAGCTGTGCAGAGCCTGTGGCTGCTCTGGGAGTGCTGGGACACGGACACTGGGGGGATCCAGGGGGAGTTTGTCACTTTGCTGGAACAGTGGACCAGGAGCAGAGGGAGGTCAGGGGATCTCCCTGGAGGATTTAAACCAGCAGGGCAGAGGAGGAACAGCCTGGGCTGCATTCACTGCGGGCCTTGCTTGGAGCAGGGCCTGGGACCAGAGACCCCCTGGTGTCCCTTCCCACCCACCCCTGGTGTCCCTTCCCACCCAATGGCTCCCTGGGTGTCAGGGAGAGACATGGAGAGCAGGTGGCACCAATGAAAATTCCTCCTGTCCCTCTCCAGGGGGGTCATGGCTGCGCTGAGCCCCAGCTGTTCCCACAGGAATGTGGGAAGCAGAGGATGGCCAGGCTGGCAGTTGGAGTGACGGGGATTCGGTGGGAATTCCGAAGTCGTGCTCAGTGACAGCAGTGACAGGGAGCTGGGGGGGCTGTGTCCAGGCTGATCCCGGTTTTCCCTCTTCGCAGGTGGTGCAGATGCAGTGCAACCTGGAGCTCAACGAGGACAAGTCCCAGTGGCACGTGAGTGTCGGCTCCGGATCCGCTCGAGGCACTGAGGGGAGACTGGACCCTGCTCCCACTGGACTGGGAAATGGGACTGGGAAATGGGAAATGGGACTGGGAAATTGGACTGGGATGTCTGACTGGGAACTGCGACTGGGAAATGGGGACTGAGGAATCTGGGATGTCTGACTGGGAGATCTGGCTGGAAAGTCAGACCGGGGACTGGGACTGGGAAGCAGGCCCAGGAAATCAGACTGGGAAATGGGACCAGGATATCTGACTGGGAAACCTGACTGGGAATGTTCTGGCCTCAGCCCGCTCCTGCACCTGGAGTCCTCACTCCTGTCCCTGGATAACAAGCACAAAGCCACCAACCCCCTCAGCCTGCAGGACATGGAGACTGGAGGGTTTGGAATTCCCTGGATGTCTCTGTCCCTGGTGTTCCTGGACACCCTCAACTCCCCTTTAGCCCTTGCAGAGGAGCTGGAATTGCTCCAGGACACCTGGACTGCCCTGGCCAAAGAGCTCCCACATCCCACAGTGCCCAGCACGCCCCTGGTGCTGCTGGAGGAGGCAGCTCCTGTGTCCCTCCCGGAGGGGTCGGGGTGGGAAGGGCTCTCCTGGGGTGGGAAGGGCTCTCCTGGGATGTGAAGGGCTCTCTCCTCTCTCCACAGCTCACGCTCCTGCTCATCCTGGAGGACAAACTGCACCGGCAGCTCAGCTACGACCTCCTGCCCAGTGAGCTCAGGGCAGGGAATGTGGGGTGTGCATGGGGGACCCCTGTGGAGGGAATGTGGGGACCCCTGGGGGGGAATGTGGGGGGGATCCCTGTGGAGAGAATGTGGGGTGTGCATGGGGGGATCCCTGTGGCCTTGTTGGGATTAGGCTCAGAGTGTGTTGGACACCGAGTGTGTTCACGGCCAGCTCTCCTCCTTTTTCCTCTCCTTTTTCCTCTCCTTTTTCCTCTCCTTTTTCCTCTCCTTTTTCCTCTCCTTTTTCCTCTCCTTTTTCCTTTCCGTATTTCTTTCCCTTCCCTTCCCTCTGGCACGTGGGAGTAACCTGCACATGAAGTGAGAGTTGGGAGGGCAGGGAGGGGCCGATCCAGTGGCCAGTCCAGACCTGCATTTCCCCCCAGGACCCACCGGTGGGGCAGTTCCCGGGGTCCCAGCAGGGAACTCTTCCCTCATTCCCAGCACTGGCACAGCCTCCACGATCCCTTTCCAGAGGGAAGGTGGGCCCTCCTCGGGAGGAGCCCCTTCCCAGAAGATGAGGAGCCTCTGGAGGCCGTGCAGCCGGAGTCCCTGGGCTGCCCCACGGCCAAAACTCCCACGGAAAGCTTGGGAATGGTCCTGGGAGCTGCTGCTTTTCCAGCCCCTCGTGGTTTCCATGGCAGCCCCTGGCCTGGTGCTTTCCCTGCCAAACAAAAGCTCCCCAAGGGAAATGCTGCCCAGAGCTGTGTTTTGGGAGGATGGGAATGAGGCCCCTGCCCAGCTCCGTGCCCTGTTCCCCCGGGATGAGCAGTTCCTTGTGCTCCATGCTGGGAGAGGCTCTTCCAGGAGCTCCAAGAGCTGCACCAGCATTCCTGTTCTCCCATTCCCTGTCTCCACAGCTGACAACTCCAAGGATTTGGCCACAGAACTGGTGCATTATGGATTCATCCACGAGGTGAGGCACTGCCCTGTGCTCCTGCTGTTCCCAAATCCCTAGGACACCTCAGAGTGGCTGCAGCTCCTCCACCACCAGCCCCTGGCAGCCTTTCCTGGGTTTCTCTTCCCTCTGGATTCTGCTCCTGCCTGGCTCCAGGGGCTGCTCCAAGGGGACAATCCCATTTTGAGGGCAGTTAATTACAGGCATCTTAAATGAATCTGAGTGTGAGAACCAGGGGAAGCCCCAAGGCTCATTCCTTCCTTAAGGAATCACAGCATCATTTAGGTTGGAAGAGACCTCCAAGACCATGGAGTCCAACCATCAGCAGATGCCGAGGCCACCCCTGCCCCTGTCCCCAAGTGCCACGTGCACAGGGTTGTAAAATCCCCCCAGAGATCGGGACTGCACCCCTGGGCCGGGGCTGGGCAGCCCTTTCCAGGAAGGAAATTCCCCCCTGGCCCTCCTCTGGCACAGCTGGAGGCCATTTCATCCTGTCCCTTGTTCCCGGGGAGCAGAGCCCGACCCCCACCTGGTGTCACCTCCTGTCCCCCTGGAGCTCCCCCTGAGCCTCCTTTTCTCCAGGCTGAGCCCCCCCAGCTCCCTCAGCTGCTCCAGCCCCTTCCCTAGCTCCGTTCCCTTCCCTGCCCTCTCTCCAGCCCCTCCCTATCCTGCACTGGGGACTCCGGGGCTGTCCCCGGGATCTGGGATGCCCCAGCGGTGCCAGCAGAGGGGGACGGGCTCGTGGGAGGCCGGAGGTGCCCGGGACAGCCCAGCAAGGGGAGCTGTTGGCACGTTTGGATTTCAGGACGACTGTGAGAAGCTGGCCACGTTCCTGGAGAGCGCCTTCCACAAGCACCGCTCGCCCCTGCTGTGAGCCCTGCCCGGTGCTGGACCGAGGGGGTCCCGGGGGTCCCGAGCCGCTCCCTGCAGCAGGACCGAGCCCCAGGCCCAGCCTGAGCCCGGGGGGCTTTGCCTGAGCTCGGGGAAGCCGGCAGAGGACTCGGCAAGCGCTGGGAATTCCACCCCGGGATGTCGGGAGCCGTGCTCTCCCGGAGCAGCGGCCCAGGGAGGTTTGGGGTGTGGGCAGCCCCTGCAGCCCCTTCCCGGTGGAGCCTGCAGGAACCCCCACACGGATCCGTTTCCCTCTGGGAATGAGCAGCTTTTCCCGCTGCAGGTCCCAAAGCTGTTTTTTCCCTGCTCTGCCATCTGGTGGAACTTGCTGAGGGGAGGAGAGGGCTCGGAAAGCTCCGGGGCAGCTTCCCATCTGCCACATTCCACTCCCCATCCCAAATCTCGGCTGGTTTAAGGTTTCCACTGCGCTCAGAATCCTCGGGGTGAGCTGGGAGGGGGCTGTGTGAGCTGGATGTGACACGGCTCGAAGGGCAATTCCAGAAATCCCGACCCACCTGCTGGATCCACGCACATGGATCAGCTGGAACCTCAGTGGTGCTCTGGAGAACCCTCGGCACTCCCCTCTTAGACCTTCCAAAATCCCTCAGCATCTTCAGGGGAAAGCCCTGATGCATCTTCCTGCCCTTTCCCCTGCAGTGTCATGGAATGTCAGTCCCTGGCCTGGAGAAATGGGAATTGCTGCCATCACCCCCCCAGTGCTGCCCTTTGCAGAAGGGTTTGTTTGGGGAAAAGTGCAAATAGGAATTGTTTGTGTCCAAGAGCCGTGTGGGGCTGTGGGGCTGCTCCTGCTGTGCCAGGGAAAAAGCAGCTCTGGAATCCTGCTCTGTGCTGTGCCAGTGCTGCTCCTGCTGTGCCAGAGGAACCCAGCTCTGGAATCCTGCTCTGTGCTCTGCCAGTGCTGCTCCTGCTGCTCCCATCATGCCAGGGAAAACTGGCTCTGGCATCCTGCTCTGTGCTGGTGCTGCTCCTGCTGTGCCAGAGGAACCCAGCTCTGGAATCCTGCTCTGTGCTGTGCCAGTGCTGCTCCTGCTGCTCCTGCTGTGCCAGTGGAAAACTGCTCTGGCCTCCTGCTCTTTGCTGTGCCAGTGTTCCATGCCAGTGCTGCTCACCTGCTCCTGCTGTGCCAGGGAAACTCTCTGGTGTGTGCTCTGCTCTGTGCCAGCGTGCTGTGCTGGTGCTGCTCCTGCTGCTCCCTCTGTGCCAGGGGAGGCCAGCTGTGCCATCCTGCTGTGTGCTGTGCTGGTGCTCTGTGCTGTGCCAGTGTTCTGTGATGGTGCTGCTCCTGCTGTGCCAGGGGAAAACCGGCTCTGGCACGTGCTCTGTGCTGCTGTTCCATGCCAGTGCTGCTCACCTGCTCCTGCTGTGCCAGGGGAAAACTGTCTCTGGCGTGTGCTCTGCTCTGTGCCAGTGTTCTGTGCTGGTGCTGCTCCTGCTGTGCCAGGGAAAGCCGGCTCTGGCACCGTGCTGGGCGTGGTGCCGGCGTTCCGTGCTGCTGTTCTGTGCCAGTGCTGCTCCATCCACCTGTGCTGTGCCAGGGGAAAGGGGCTGTGGGAATGGTGGGATGCCCATCCCTGGAAGTGCTCAACCCCTGCTCTGTGCCGCTGCGCTCTGCCAGTGCTGCTGCTGCTGCTCCCACTGTGCCAAGGGGAACTGGCTCTTGCCCGCTGCTGTGTGCTGGCTGTGCCAGTGCCCTGTGCCAGAGCCCTGTGCCAGTGTTCTGTGCTGTGCCAGTGTTCTGGGCTGTGCCAGTGCCCTGTGCCAGAGCTCTGTGCCCATGTTCTGGGCTGTGCCAGAGCTCTGTGCCGGTGTTCTGTGCTGTGCCAGAGCTCTGTGCCGGTGTTCTGGGCTGTGCCAGAGCTCTGTGCCAGTGTTCTGGGCTGTGCCAGTGTTCTGGGCTGTGCCAGTGTTCTGTGCTGGTGCTGCTCCTGCTGCTTCTGCTGTGCCAGGAGGACCTGGCACCCTGCTTCATGCTGTGCCAGAGCTCTGTGCCAGTGCCCTGTGCCAGTGTTCTGGGCTGTGCCAGTGTTCTGTGCTGGTGCTGCTCCTGCTGCTCCTGCTGTGCCAGGAGGACCTGGCACCCTGCTTCATGCTGTGCCAGTGCCCTGTGCCAGTGTTCTGTGCTGTGCCAGAGCTCTGTGCTGGTGCTGCTCCTGCTGCTCCTGCTGTGCCAGGGGACCTGGCTCTGGCCCGTGCTGGTGCTCCGTGCTGCGCCGTGCCCTGCGCTGTGCCAGCCTTGCTCTCCGTGCCGGTGCTGTGCCCGGTGCCGCCGTGCTGTGCCAGCGTTTCCCCCGTGCCGGATCCCGGGGTGGCAGTGCCTGCCCGCGCTCGGCGGGGTCTCTCGGGCCGGATCCCGCCGGGATGGTGTCCACGCTCGGGTGCTGCGCTGACCCCTCGTGCTGCGTTCCCAGCCCGGGCTCCATTCCCAGCCCGGGCTCCATTCCCAGCCCATGCTCCGTTCCCGGCTCGTGCAGCATTCCCGGCTCGTGCAGCGTTCCCTGCTCGGGCTGCTTTCCCCGCTGTGCCAGCGTTCCGACCTGACAAATCAATAAAGCCGATGGGAGCAGCCGATCCCACGGGAACGACTCGCACCAAACCCCTCGTCTTTCCTCCCGCGCCCCCGGGGGGAAGCCGGCGGGTGGGTGGGAAGCAGCTTCCCGGAGTTCCACAGGCCCCCCCTGGGGTCAGGCAAAGCGGGCCCGGGAGGGATCCAGGGAACGTCCCGGCTGCTGACTCCCAAATCCCTTCTCCAGGGCAGGCCCTGGGCTCTGCAGCCCGGGACATTCCGGCCCATCCCGGCCCCTCCTCGGCACTCCCTTAACCCCCACCGGAGAACCCATGGATTAACGGGATTGAACACAACTCCTCCCGCCCTGGAATTCCCTGCACGGAGTATTCCCTGTGCAGAGTGTTCCCAGTACCCACAGGATGCTCCCAGGACATCCCAGTATCCCACAGGCTCTCATGCAATCACGGAGTGCAGTTGGATGGGACCACTGGAGATTTGGGATGTCCCTCCCAGCCCCTCCCACTCCAGCAGGGGCAGGAGCAGCAGGAGCCGCGCCCTGTCTGGGGTGGGATGGGTGGGATCCTCCACAGCCCCGTCCCTGTCCAGCCCCTCAGCTGAACTCCAGCGCGTTTTCCCGTGTTCCAGTGGGATTTCCCCCTTTCCAGCGTGTCCCGTGGGTCTCTGGAGCAGACCCGGCCCCGGTGCCTCCCACTGGGAACACGGAGAAGATTCCTGCTCTTGCTCCAGGCCCTCCTGGCACGCGGGAGAGGGGATGTGTCCCGGGATACTGGTACCAGGTCTGCCCAGAGAATGGGGATGGAATTCCTGCCCAAACTGGAATTCCCTTTCCCTTCCAGGGATAATTTGGGAGCACGAGGCCCTCTCACCACAAGGAGGTGTTAAGTGCCCTTTAGTGGCCCAAACTCCCGAAATCCTTTATAAAACCCGTGGGATCTGTGAATTCCTCCTGGTTTTTCCTCATCCTCGTGGCTCCTCCCCAGTGTGGACACGAGATCCCCGGGGCTGGTTCTGCTCCCAAGGTGCTGGATGCGGCACCACCCGAGTCCTGCTGAGGCTCCTTGTCCTGGCCTTGGACACTCCCAGGGATCCAGGGGCAGCCACAGCTGCTCTGGGAATTCCAGCTCAGCCCCTCCCCACCCTCCCAGCCAGCAATCCCTTCCCAGTATCCCATCTAACCCTGGGAAGCATTCCCTGTGTCCTGTCCCTCCATCCCTTGTCCCCAGTCCCTCTGCAGCTCTCCTGGAGCCCCTTCAGGCCCTGGAAGGGGCTCTCAGGTCTCCCTGGATCCTTCCCTTCTCCAGGGGAACATTCCCAGCTCTCCCAGCCTGGCTCCATCCCCGGGGTCTGCCCTCGGCTCTGGAGTTAAATTTGGGCACCAGGGATTGCATCCCCTGGGAAAGAGCCAAGAGAGGGGACAGAGCAGGGAACACTGGGATGGGGACATTTCGCTCCAGTTCCCAGCAGACGATCCCGATCCGCTGTCCCGGGGCACATCCAGCACCTCCCGGTGCCCACGGCCGGTACCGGGGGCTCTCCCCTCAGGCTGCGGCCAAGGGCCACCCGGCACCAGGCGGGCCCGCCGGTTTGGCTCATTTTATCAGGTTTTATCCCACTTTATCCGGGTTTATCCCATTTTATCCGTTACGGCCCTGCCCGTGCTTTGGACCTTCCGGAGGCCTCCGGCGCTGCCGCCTCCAGTCCCAGCACCGACCCAGTGGCGCTGAGGCCGCAGTAGCCAAGCCGGGGTCCAGCCGAGATCCCCCGGGTATCCCCCAAAGCCCCGGGGTGTCCCACGGAGACCCCTCGGGCCGATCCCGGCTCCGGCACCGCCCGCGCCTGGGCGGCGCCATCTTGCCCCCCGCTGCGGTCACATGACCTCCCCCTTCCCCGAACTCTCGCGATACCTTTCCCCCGGGAGGTTTCCCCCCCCCTTCCCCCTGCCGGGTTTCCCGCGCGCGCCGCCGGAGCTCTCGCGAGAGCCGCGCGCGGAGCCGGGGAGGACAAGATGGCGGCCACGACGCCGATGGCGCTGGTGAGGGAGCGGCGGGGCCGGCCGGGCCGGGGCGGCTCGGGGGGCTCACGGGGGGCCTCGCGGGCCGGGGCAGCGGCGTGGGGACGCGGAGGAGCCGGGGGGCGCGGCCGAGGCGGCGGCCGAGGGGTCCCCGCCCGGGCCGGGCCCGCGGGGGAGCGGCGGGGGCGCCGCGCTCTGAGGGGCCCTGAGGGGATGGAGGAGGGGGGGAGAGGAGGAGAGAGGGGCGAGAGGGATCTGCGCCCTGCCTGGGCTCCCGCGCCTCCGCCCTCCGTGCAGGGCAGGGGCCGGTTCATCCTCCCTTCCATCCGCCGGTCCTGATCGCCCGCCCCGCCGGGGACGGGAACGGCATCGTCGGCGTCTGCAGGGAACGGGAATGGGATCCCCGCGGTCTGCAGGGAACGGGAATGGGATCCCCGGGGTCTGCAGGGAACGGGAACGGGATCCCCGGGGTCTGCAGGGAACGGGAACGGGATCCCCGGGGTCCGCAGGGAACGGGAATGGGATCCCCGGGCATCACCCTGCGAGGAGCCGCTCACGGTGCCGCCTTTGGGCCGCTGTTCCCAAATTCACTTGTTTGAACTCTCCTTTCTGCGCCGGTGTTCGCAGATCCGCCCGGATTGAGTTTTTTTTAGGAGTTCTTTCTGTGTTCTGGGACGTTTTTAGATGTCTGTGAGGTTTTTAGATGTTCGAATCCTTCCCTGGCCGAGCTGCTGGTGGGAAGGAGCAGGAGAACGGTGATTCCCGAGGCTGTTGGTTTTCCTGGGATTCACCCTGGGATCCAGCAATGGAAGTGCCTCCTCGGGGCCGGTTCCTGGCTCGGTGGGCATTGTGTGCTCTGGGAATACCGAGCCGCGGGGCTCAGGGAAGGGGCCTGGGAACACCCAGGGATCCCCGGATCCCACGGAACACCGGGTGGGATCCTTTTGGGAATCCGCAGCTGTGAACTGGGGGTAGATACAAATCACTCCCACCTGGTTTTCTGTCTCGTATTTCCCGTATCCGCTGGATTCGGAGGCTTCCCTGGGGAATGCTGGGAATGGGGGGCGGGACTGGAGCCTGTGGGGTGCGTGGCTGTCTGAGATGCAGGGTTCAGCTCTGCTGTTTTCCCAGCCTGGGGAGTTTCCCGGGAGGTTTGTGAGGAGCAGGGAAGGTCCAGTCCAGACTCCCCAGGGTCCCTCTTTCCTTCTGATCCAGAGGAGTTGAGAAAACAACCCCAGCTCGTTGTTCTGGGCTGCTGCTCTGGGCAGGAGGGGTCTGTGCTGAGGGACAGAGCAGGGCCCAGGGAGCTGCGCCTGGAATTCCCATGGAATCTCCGTTCCTGGCATGGTACCTGCCAGAATCACCTGTTGGAATCGATCCCATTCGTGCCCTGAAGGACCCTCAGCAGTTGGCCCTTGCTGCCTCACATCCCAGACTCCCCTGCCAGTGCCTGTCCTTCCTCCTGATCCCTGACTCCAGTGCCTGTCCTTCCTCCTGATCCCTGAATCCCATCTGGGCTTGTCCTTCCTCCTGATCCCTGACTCCAGTCCCTGTCCTTCCTCCTGATCCCTGACTCCAGTGCCTGTCCTTCCTCCTGATCCCTGACTCCAGTCCCTGTCCTTCCTCCTGATCCCTGACTCCAGTCCCTGTCCTTCCTCCTGATCCCTGACTCCAGTGCCTATCCTTCCTCCTGATCCCTGACTCCAGTCCCTGTCCTTCCTCCTGATCCCTGACTCCAGTCCCTGTCCTTCCTCCTGATCCCTGACTCCAGTCCCTGTCCTTCCTCCTGATCCCTGAGTCCCAGCTGGGCTCGTCCTCTGTCGGGAGCTTCAGGGTCAGGTTTTAGCAGCCTTGGTGGAATTCCCTTGGCAGGGTCAGTCAGGGAATCCTGGAATCCCAGCCTGGTTTGGAATGGGAGGGATCTCAAATCTCATCCAGTCCCACCCCCTGCCCCATCCCTGGAAGGGTCCAAGGCCAGGCTGGACGGGGCTCGGAGCAGGAGCTGTCCCTGCCCAGGGCAGGCTCTGAGGGCCCTTCCCACCCAAACCATTCCATGATTCCATGGTTCTGGAGCCGCTGGCTCACGAGGTGCTGCAGGAACAGCCCATTTTGGGAGGATTTGATCCCTGGCCATCTCTGGGAACACCTCTGGGAGGGCAGGGGAGAGCCCGTGGATGTGCCCCATGCTCTGGAGGCTGCAGCAGCCAGCAGTGCTGTTCCAGTTGGGAAAGAGCATTCCCTGGAGTTGCTGAAGGAGTTGTAAAGGTCACTGTGCCCAGAAGGGCTTCCAGAGTCCACCTGAATCCACAGGGGCTTGGATGGTCTGTAGGGACAAACAAAATGTGGCTGTGTCCACCAGGAAGGGCCTTTCCTGGACTCTCACCTGCTGTGGAGGGATTTCCCCATGGAAAGGGTGGTCAGGCACTGGCAGGGGCTGCCCAGGGAAGTGGTGCAGTCCCATCCCTGGAGGTGTCCAGGGAATTCTGGCTGTGGCACTCAGTGCTCTGGGCTGGGACAAGGTGGGGTGCCAAGAAACAAGGAAGCAGCATTCCGGGCTCTCTGAGTGTGGGGATGGAGCTTGGCATGGGTGTGCTGCTCTCCAGGGAGCCTGGAGGGACAGGGCATGGTGCTGTTCCTTGGGGAAAAGCTCCATGGTGAGGGCTGTGTGCCGAGGAATTCCTGTGGGAGCTGTGGATCACCCCTGGATCCCTGGGTCCTTCCCAGGGGGATGTGTGCCAAGGAATTCCTGTGGGAGCTGTGGATCAGCCTTGGATCCCCGGTTCCTTTCCCAGAGGTCACTTCAGCCTGGGCTCTGCTGGAGCTGGGCTGTTCCAGAGCAGTTTTCGGGAGCTGTGCCTGTTAATGGGCTCAGATATGGAAATTCCATCAAACACAGCAATCAAAGGGCTGGATTTTGTAGAATCCCAGCAGATTGTAATCCATGGAGTGGCTTTTCATTGGGAATGGTTACATTTGTCAGCCCTTCATCTGCTGTTCCCCCAGTTCCCACAGCTCCTAAACTGGAATAACGAGGGGTTTAGAGCTGGAGGAGATGGGAGCAGCAGTGGGAACAGGGAGTGTGGGCTCTGAAATGGGCTGAGAGCTCTGGGCTGAGCATGGGAGGGCACAGGGACAGCTGGTGGCAAACAGGGATCCAGCCAGGCGGGAAAGGACAAGAGGGATTTTTTGAAGGAATTTATTGGATGTTCCACAATCACCTTTTGGGGACGATGGAACCTTCCTGTTCAGACAGTTCCTGGGTCGTGGAGGTGGCGCTTGGGGACGAGGCCAGTAGTGGCTGTGGCACTGCTGGGGAGAGTTGGACTCGGTGGGCTCAGAGGCTTTTCCAGCCTCAGCCATTCCATGATTCCATATCGCTTTGCTGATCCCACTTCCAGTTTGGGAGCGGCCTGCGGAGTTGTGGCTTTGTGCTCTGGAGTTTCCCAGCTGGCAGTTCCAGCCACCTCTGCTCCGTGTCAGCTCCCTGCTGGTGTCCTGGTGTTCCCTCATCCGTGTGTTCCATGGACTTCTGAAGGAATCAGGGAAAGACCTGCAGCTCTGGAGGCTGCTCAGACTCCTGGAGAGCAGGAATTTGTGCTGGGAGTGTTTGCTTTGTGTCTGCTCCGTGTTCATTGATCCTGGGAAATGCTCCCAACACCCCGTGGAAAACTGGAGGCTGCCCAAAGCCTGGAGTCTCCTTGTTCCTGTAAACTAGAGGATAGAGGACACATCCCAGGATGGCTGGGGTGGGAAGGGGAGCTGTGGCTGCCCCATCCCTGCAAGTGTCCAAGGCCAGGTTAGAGCAACCTGGGAGGGTGGAAGGTATCCCTGGCCATGGCAGGGGTAGGACTGGATGGGCTTGGAGGTGCTTCCAAACCACTCCACGATTCTGTGGTTTGGGAAAGTTTCAGAGAAGCACCTAAAAAGGGACCATGGAAAACTCGGGGTGACAGAGCCAGGTGGGAGGGGACCGTGGGTGGGGACACGGGACAGTGGAGCTGTTGGCAGGATGGGGATGGTGGGAGCCAGGAGTGGGGATTATCCCATTGCCTGTTCCCTGAAAACGTGGTGGTTGAGGGGCTCTGTAAGTGCCCAGCACATCCAGTGGTTTGTAGGATTGCTGGGATGGCTCTTCCCACAGGGAGAGAGGGGAATATGAACTGGTTTTCCTGGCTTACCAGTGGGTTTGGGAAGGGTTTTTATCCAGCTGTGATGTCCTGACATGCAGTGCTTTGGTCCCTGGGAGGCAGGGACAGGTCTCTCCATGGGGACAGTTTTCCAGGAGCACTTTGTGTTTCCTCAGGGGACGGAGTCCATTAAGATGGAGAACGGGCAGAGCACGGCAGCGAAGCTGGGGCTGCCCCCCCTCACCCCAGAGCAGCAGGAAGCTCTCCAGAAAGTGAGTAAATCCAGGGGGAATTTGCTGTTTGGGCTTGGCTTTGTTTGGGGAGGGTTTGGTTTGGGGGAGTTGTGTGTTGGGTTTAATGAGCCTCTGCCACCGGTGGGGCCAAAGGGAGCAGGAATTTGAGTGGGATCATGGCCCTCCTGGGGGTCCCACAGTCACATCTGTGCCCAGGAATTACTTGTTCTGGTCTGGAGTTCATGGATATTTTTGGGAGCATGATGGGGATTCACTGTTGGGGTTGGGAGAGTGGTTTTAGTTTAAGAAATAAATAAGATCAGAAGTGTAAATCAGCTGGGAGCTGTGGGATAGTGTGGGAGTGCCGCAGAGGAGCAGCCAGGATTGGGATTGGGATTGGGATCTACTCCAGAGCACATCCCAGAGTATCTGTATTTCCTTATGCTCTTCCTGGGATGTGCAAAGAGCCCCAACAGCAGAATTCCAGCCCATTCCCATCAGTACAGTTCCATCCAGCTGCCATCTCCTGTTGTTGGTCCCATCCCACACAGCCAACTGTCCTGCTGGGATGAGCAAGGCCTGGGAGTGGGGAAGGGAAACACCTCCAGGGAGTGTGGGAGCTGTGGGATAGATGTCCTTTGGGGAGGCAGGAGTGGGGATGAGGGTTCCCTGGCATGGAGCCTCTGTGCCAGCACCGCTGGAAGCTCTGGCTCTGCTGGACTGGGAGAGACCAAAAGAAATCCCAAATGAGCCTCGTTGTGCAGGAGGAGCCAAGAGGAACTGAGGAATTCAGGGAGCTGATCCAGAGGGAAGAGCTGGGGTGCTCAGGGAGCAGATCCAGAGCAGGGCTGGGATGCTCAGGGAGCACATCCAGAGCAGGGCTGGGATGCTCAGGGAGCGGATCCAGAGCAGGGCTGGGATACTCAGGGAGCGGATCCAGAGCAGGGCTGGGATGCTCAGAGACGGACCCAGAGGGCAGAGCTGGGATGCTCAGGAAGCAGATCCAGAGGGCAGAGCTGGGATGCTCAGGGAGCGGACCCAGGGCAGAGCTGGGATGCTCAGGGAGCAGATCCAGAGCAGGGCTGGGATGCTCAGGGAGCACATCCAGAGCAGGGCTGGGATGCTCAGGGAGCAGATCCAGAGGGCAAAGCTGGGATGCTCAGGGAGCAGACCCAGGGCAGGGCTGGGATGCTCAGGGAGCGGACCCAGGGCAGAGCTGGGATGTTCAGGGAGCAGATCCAGAGCGGTGCAGGTGTGCTGAGAGGGGAGATCCCAGTGCAGGGGTGTCTGTGGGGAGGTGGAGGCCCTTCCCTTCTCTGTGCAGACGTTCTGTGGGAGGAGAGCACTGGAGGAGGCCGTGCCCGCCCTCGGCCCGCCAGGTAAGGGGCTGTGCTGGGCTGCGAGGGCGGAGGAGGGAATGCCGAGCTCCTGTGCTGGGCTGCGAGGGCGGAGGAGGGAATGCCGACTCCGGTGCATGCTGCTCCCCTCGCTCCCGCCCTGTCCCAGCCCCGGGGTGTGGAGCTGCCGGCAGCGCTCGGGGCCGGGCCCCTGCAGGCTCCGGGAGCCGAGGAGTGGACGCAGGAGCCGTTCCCGGCCCCCACAGCCGCCGTGTCTCCCCGCAGGCCAAGAAGTATGCGATGGAGCAGAGCATCAAGAGCGTGCTGGTGAAACAAACCATCGCCCACCAGCAGCAGCAGCTCACCAACCTCCAGGTGAGGGCCCCCCGGGCCGCGCCCTCTGCCTCGTGCTCCCCCCGACACCGTGGAGTCCTCAGGGCCCTCGGAACCAGAGCACAGCCCCGAGCCTGCAGCTCGCCAGGGCACCCCTGTCCTGCTCAAATTGCCCCCAGATTCGCTCGCGCCAGGAGGAAATTCTTGATTCCTCCCCTGTCGATGGCCCTTCCTGAGGTACAAGAAGCCAAAGGCTTTGCCCTGGGTTTCACTTTCCGCTTATTGAGGTGGTGAAGCCAGAAGGGATCCTGGGAACAGTGTCCTGTCACCATCTCCTGTGCTTGAGGGAGGGTTCCTGTCCCCCCTCTCTGTGTCCCAGTCCTGCCCTGTTTCCCTCCCCTGCACTCAGGTGCTTTCAATCCTGGAGAAGTTCCATTGGCTGTTCCTGCTCCTGCTGGAATGCCTGTACCAGGACAACCCTTACCTGGGGTTTTAACCTCCCCTCCTTCAGAGGCTTCTGGAACACGTCTGGCCGCCTTCACTCCGAGTCAGGAAGCCCAAACTGACAGCTCTGTCCAAGGAATCCCTGTGGATGTGCTCCGAGGCCGCTCGGGGCTGTGCCTGGTTCTGAGGGTCTGCTCTAGTTGAGGGGCTCCTTTAAACGCTGGGGGTGAACCAACGCCAGTGGTTGCAGAGGTCTCTATTGCCTTGAGTCCCCCCTGGGATCCCACCCTGCTTCCCGAGACAGTGGCAGCAGCACAGCCCACCCTGGCCTGGTGGGACCGGACTCGGCAGGGTCCCGGCGCCGGACAGTCCTGGGGACCAGGCAGTGAGGGCCAAGGAAGGAGAGGCCTCTCCGCAGGTGCCCCTGCGCCGCCGCTCTGCTTGAGTTTGTACAACAGCCGTAGTAATGCTCAGCTCCAACAGACTGAACTCTGTCTTTACTGTCTTTCAGATGGCAGCAGTGACAATGGGCTTTGGAGATCCTCTCTCACCTTTACAATCGGTCAATAGAAATATTCACTTCTTCTGGGGCATTGTCTTAGTCAGGGCCTAGCGTGGGGACGTTCGTAGTGGTGCCAATGCTCTTGTCCGCGCCCAGCACAGCCCTCCCACCTCCCCACCCGTGCCGGACACGCCCCGGAGCAGAGCGAGGTGTCCCTGCCCCGAGAAGACCCCAGGCTGTGCAGTCTGCGGGGACACTGGCACTCGGGGGCACAGACAGCTTTAGATTTCCACCAGTTCTGAACACACCCGTGCAATGGTGGGAGCTGCATTTCTAGGGATGCCGCAGTTCTGAGGTCCCGACCTAAAACTAACGGCCAAGGTAACGCACAAAGGGGCGACTTGTTGTGGAACGACCTCCCAGCGCCGGGGCCCGGCAGCCGCGGGGCCGGGGAGGGCAGAACGGGGCGTAGCCCAAGTGCCACACTCTCCTTCCTGTGCATGGTCCAGACTAGGGGAACGTGGCACGTTCCTGAGTGCAGCAGCGGCAGGATGGAGGTGGCAGAACCCCAGGAATGCCCAGAGAACCCCTGTGATCCTTAGGGCCGGTTCTGATCAGAGGCCACAAGGAGCTGAATGACCTGGGGTGATCTGTCCCCTCCTCTTTCCCAGAGGACAAAGTGCCCTGTGACTCCTCCCTGCACACAGAGGTTCAGTTGTGCATTCGTTTGTAAATACCTTCCCATCTTGCTGGAATATGGGATTTGTGCCTGGTGTCAAATGCAGCCGGAGGTTTGTGCTCCAGAGGAGGAGGGCACTGAAGGGAAATCCCTGCTCTCCCTCCCTTGGCAGCGGGTGGTGTGGCAGTGGGGAGCCAGAGGGGATCTTCTGGGCAAGGGGGTGAGTTTGGAATGGACTGCATGGATTTGGCAGAGCTGGTGTCTGAGCCCTCGTGCCCAGGAGTCCCCCCATCCGTGGGGCTGCTGCCTGACAGCAGGACTCCAGCAGTTTGGGGTTTGGCTCGTTCTTCCCAGCTGGGCACAGCCAAGGTGGCACAGGAGAGGTTTAATGGCTCGTTGTCTCCAGGGCACAGACTGTGACCCCTTTTCCTCAGACATTCCTCCTTCAGGGAGTCAGAGGCTGCTGCTGGACACAGCCCAGGAGCAGGAGTTGGATACGGGGCCCTGGTGCAGGTCAGAGCAGTTAGGATACCCCTTCCTCGAGAGGTGCTTTATCCCAGAGCCCACTGGGACTGCACAAAGTGCAAACAGTCTCTGTCCAGAACTTTCCTGTGGCCAGGTGCGTCCCCAGTTCCTCTGGGAAGGCAGCACAGCCCGAGCTCCCTGTCATGGGTCTTGGGGCTTCCTGTGGGCTCAGTCCTCCCTCCACGTGCCACAGCACGGGATTCCCTCTCCCTTCACTGTTCCCTGGCTTGTGTCACAGCTGGTGCCTGGGGTGGGAGTTGTGCATCACCTGCTTTGGTTAAAGGAGCACCCCAAGGTGGTGGCTTGGCCTGTCCTTAAAAGAACCTCCCAGATCCCTTACGAGCAGCATCACACAGTTACAGCTGGGAGCTGCTGTCTGGCTGAGGCTGCAGGGGCTTAAACCCAGGTTTTGGGAAACTGGGAAAGAGTGAAACCAGCTTTGTGGGGCGGTGAGAGCAGGGAGGTTTCCAGGAGGAGTCCTTGACTCCGAACTGTGCTGAGCTCAGGGCATCACCTCCCCTGAGGCTCCTGTCGGTGACCCACTGACACCCCAGAGTCGGCACTGCCACCCCAGGTCTGCCTGTTGTAGGTCCAAAATCCCAGGATCACTGAGTTTGGAAAAGCCCTCTGAGGTCATTGGGTCCACCCTGTGCCCGATCCCTACCTTGTCCCTAGCCCAGAGCACTGAGTGCCACATCCAGGCATTCCAGGGATGAGGACTCCTCCACCTCCTGGGCAGCCCCTTCCAGTGCCTGACAGCCCTTTCTGGGAAGAAATTCCTCCTAATGTCTGAAAATCCAAGTCCTCTTCACTTCCCCACCTGGTCTTTAGGGTAAGGGGGGGTTTCCTCCTGCAGAGGCTCCTTGGGAGAGGCCCCTCCCTGGGACACCTGGCGGGAGACTGGGGATGGCTCTGACTCCCTGAACAGGCACACTGAGGGGATTTCCTGCTCCAGAGCTGGAATGTGCTGGAGGACCTGGGACACACCACATGCCATAGTCCTCCTGGTCACTGAGTGCAGAGAAAAGAGAGAGCGGCCAGGTGGGGCCAGGAAACCCTTAACCCAGGCAAGGGGCAGCTGGCTGTCACCTCAGGGGTTAATGTCACCCCTGGAAGAGCAGTTGGGCCTTAATGCCACCTCAGGGGCAGCACTTGGGGTTTAGTATCGCCCCAGGAGCAGCAGGTGTGACTGGATGTCACCTCAGGGGTGGAGTATGGGTTTGATGTCCCCCCAAAGGCAGCAGCACAGGGTGAGGGCCATCCCTGTTTGCAGTGTCCTGTATGGAGGGGCAGGAGCTGAACCCCCCCGGTTTGTTTCCTCCTGAGGCCGGTGCCAGTCCCGTGTGGGTACCACAGGGAGCAGGATCCCTCGGGCACAGTCTGTGTCCTGTGGGTGACTGTCCTAGGGGAACTCTCCCTCCCCTGGGGCTGAACATCCCCAGGCATGGCAGCGAATCATCCTCCTGAAGGCCCTGAGTGCAGCCCCTCTGCCTCCAGGGTCCTCAGACAGGGCAGGGCACCCCAAAAATCATCCTTGAGAAGGCCGAGTGCACACCCTTCAAACCAGGGTTCCCCAGATCCGGCAGAGCTCCTGTGATTGTTAAGGCATCCCAAAAATCATCCTCTGAAGTCCCTGTTTGCAGCCCCTTCAATCCAGACGTGGCAGAGCTCCCGTGCTTGTGAAGGCATCCCAAAAATTGTCCTCCTGAAGGCCCTGAGTGCAGCCCCTCTGCCCTGGGGGTCCCCAGACATGGCAGAGCTCCTGTGCTCATTAGGGCACCCCAAAAATCATCCTTGAGAAGTCCCTGGTTGCAGCCCCCCTGCCCCCAGGGTGCTGGGCACGGGAGGGGATGCTCTGAGCTCCGTCTGTGGTGCCGGGCAGGGCCAGAGGCTTCACCACCTGCTGCACCTGCTCTGCTCCAGCCCCTCCCTGCCCAGGTGTGTCCCCCTGTCCCGGAGCCATCCCCACACACAGAGGCAGTCGCTGATCCAGCCCCATTCCCAGAACTGGGTGTGTTCCCAGGGCAGCAGCAGCTCTAGAGCTGGCCTGGGGGTGCCAGCCCCGAGGGACACGCTGTGCTCTGCTTTTGGGATCCCTGCTGTAAGGGCTGGCTGGGTTTTTCTGGCAGATTTAGGAGCCAGTAGCACAGAGACCCTCAGAGCAGCACCCCAGTGTTGGGGCTGCCCAGTGCAGCCAGCAGTGCCAGGCAGGGCTGAGAACTGGCACCACACCCTTCCCAGGAGCCCCACTGAGCCACTGGAGGGTTTTGCTTTGCTGTTGAGCCGTGGAAGTGGTGCCCAGTGCTGGATCTCGGAGTGCCGGGGTGGGGGGGCCGTGGTGCCGGAGGGAGCGGGGAGGAGGTTCCCAATCCCATACCCTTCGCTGCCTGGGCGGGTGGGGGGCGGGAGTGACGCTGGATCTCTTGCTGTCCCTCCGGGGGGAGGGGGGGAGAGGGAGGGGTTCTCCCAGAGCTGAGCCCTTTGCTGCCTGGAAGGGCAACTGAAGTGATTCCCTCCTCCTGCAGGCGTGGCTGGAGATGTGATCAGGCTGGGGGGGAGACCCGACCAGTGGGGCCGCAGACGTGTGCGAGCCAGGCTTTATCCACTCCCACCCTGGGACTGAGCCAGGCTTTATTCCAGGAGTAAGCTGGACTTGATCCACTCCTGCCCCAGGACTGAGCTGGGCTTTATCCACTCCTGCCCCAGAACTGAGCTGGGCTTTATCCAGTCCTGCCCTGGGACGGAACTGGGCTTTATCCACTCCTACCCTGGGACTGAGCTGGATTGATCCAGTGCTGCCCTGGGACTGAGCTGGGCTTGATCCACTCCTGCCCCGGGACGGAGCTGGATTGATCCAGTGCTGCCCCGGGACCGAGCCGGGCGGATCCGCTCCAGCGCCCTGTGCAGCGAGCAGGGAAATCCTTCTGATCCTCGTGTGGCCGAGCTGCGGCCCGGCCGGAGCTGTGCCGGGGTGGTCCCGGGAGGGCAGAGGAGGGGAGGAGGTGCCGGTGTCCGTGTGCCCCCGGCCCTGACCGGGCAGTCCTTGTCTCGCTACAGATGGCGGCTCAGAGGCAGCGGGCGCTCGCCATCATGTGCCGGGTCTACGTGGGCTCCATCTACTACGAGCTGGGGGAGGACACCATCCGCCAGGCCTTCGCCCCCTTCGGGCCCATCAAGAGCATCGACATGTCCTGGGACTCCGTCACCATGAAGCACAAGGTGGGACGGGGCTCCTGCGCTGGGGGACCTTCCCTGAACGTTCCCCACCCGGGCACGGGGTGGGACCGGGTGGGCTTTTAGGTGTTTTCCCACCCACCGCATCCTGGGGTTTGGGGGTGTGCTGGGAGCTCTGGCACAGAGCATGTGGACTGTCCTGGGAGGGGCTGGGTTTCCTGTGTGGCAGCAGGAGCTGTGATGAGGCATTTTGGGGTTTCCCACAAGGTTATTTCTTTCAGCCACGTATCCTAAACACAAAATGTACAGTTTTGCAGAGCTTTGGATGGGATATTGGGAAGGAATTTTTCCCTGGGAGGGTGGGCAGGCCCTGGCACAGGTTGCCCAGAGAAGCTGTGGCTGCCCCTGGATCCCTGGCAGTGTCCAAGGCCAGGTTGGACGGGGCTTGGAGCAACCTGGGCTAGTGGGAGGTGTCCCTGCCCATGGCAGGGGGTGGGACTGGGTGGGCTTTAAGGTCCCTCCAACCCAACTCTACGATTCCCAGCCCTCAAGGGATGTGTATCCTCTTGTGTCCATGGCCTTCCTGATGCAGCCAGGAGAGGAAAGGGCCTCCGTCCTCATGGAGCCCAGGCTGCTTTTAGCACTGGGGATGATTGATTGCAGCTCCCTGCTCTGCTTAGGGCAGGAGTCTGTGCTGGGAGCCAGGTGTGCCTGGGCTGGGGTGCACGGAATCGCAGGATCACTGAGGTTGGAGAAGAGCTCCACGGTCATCGCGCCCACCCTGTGCCCAATGCCCATCTTGTCCCCAGCCCAGAGCACTGAGTGCCACGTCCGGTCACTCCTTGGACACCTCCAGGGGTGGGGACTCCACCACCTCCCTGGGCAGCCCCTGCCAATGTTTAACAACCCTTTCCAGGAAGAAATTCCTCCTGCTGTCCAACCTGAAGCTCCCTAGGAGGTGCCAGCCCAGCACAGCCCTGAGTGAGGTGGGGTTTTTCTGTGGGGCCTCTGAGTGAGTCCAAGAGGCTCCAGGAGGATCAGGTGTCCTTGGTGGGATCTCTGCAGGCCTTTTTTGCCTTAATAAAAAGCTGCCCCAAGGAATCTTCTCAGGCTACGAGCAGGAATCAGTGTGGTGGGAATCAATTCCACATGTAGGGCTCTGTGGGAAGTCTTGGCTGCCTTATCTTGGCCTGGAGTGATTCACAGTCTGCTGCTGTCCCAGGGCTTTGCCTTTGTGGAATACGAGGTCCCCGAAGCCGCCCAGCTGGCCCTGGAGCAGATGAATTCTGTCATGCTGGGGGGGAGGAACATCAAGGTGAGTACCAGGAGTGCCCTCAACATTTCTGCTTCTCTTCGCTGGGAATAACAGGTTTATGCCTGGAAATGCTCCCCACAGCCCTGGGGAAGGTGCCTGAAGTCTGGTCCCTGATGGACCTTGGTGTCCAGCGTGGGGCTCACGCTGGCTCCAGGTGCCTCCTCTGCGAGGAGAAACCCCCGACCTGAGAGTCCCAGCTGGGACTGGCTCTGGGGACCCGGCTCAGGTTTTCCCACCCACACATGGGAGTGTCTTGAGGACAAAACAAAGGTGATTTTTTATATGGTGTCTCTGACACGCTCTGCAGGGTCTGGAGGCTGAGAGGGTTTGGGACTCCCCAAAAGAAGGGTGTAGGAACATTGAGATTTGCTCTCAGAGTCTTTCTCAATCCCTGGAAGTTGGTCCTTGGCAGGCCAGGGAAGATAAATGGGGGAGAATGCAATGAGGAAGGAGCAGAGTCTGCTCTGGCTCTGTATTCCTGGATTGCAGTAGTGCTGCTTCCCAGAGCCATGGCAGCCATTCCCTGTGCCAGGGCAGGCCCTGGGAGGTGTCCTGTGGTGCTGAGTGCCTGGGGGCTGCCTTTGGACACTCCGTGGATTGTGTCACAGAATCCCAGGATCACTGAGATTGGAAAAGACCTCCAAGGTCGAGTCCAGCCTGTGCCCGATGCCCACCTTGTCCCCAGCCCAGAGCACTGAGTGCCATGTCCTTCCTTGGACACCTCCAGGGATGGGGAGTCCAAACCTCCCTGGGCAGCCCCTGCCAATGTTTAACAACCCCTTCCATGAAGAAATTCCTCCTGATATCCAACCTGACCCTTCCCTGGCACAGCTTGAGGCCATTTTCCCTTGTCCTGTCCCTGTTCCCTGGGAGCAGAGCCCGACCCCCACCTGGATCCCCCTTCCTGTCAGGGAGTTGCAGAGCCAGAAGGTCCCCCCTGAGCCTCCTTTTCTCCAGGATGAGCCCCCCCAGCTCCCTCCTGGTGCTCCAGCCCTTCCCATCTCCGTTCCATCCCTGTGCCTCAGGTGGGCAGGCCCAGCAACATCGGGCAGGCCCAGCCCATCATCGACCAGCTGGCGGAGGAGGCGCGAGCCTTCAACCGCATCTACGTGGCCTCGGTGCACCAGGACCTGTCGGACGACGACATCAAGAGCGTCTTTGAGGCCTTTGGGAAGATCAAATCCTGCACCCTGGCCAGGGACCCCACGACAGGGAAGCACAAAGGCTACGGATTCATCGGTACGACGTGGCTGGGCCCGGGCTGGGAGTGGGATTGGGAGTGTGGGGGGGGTGTCCTCGGCTTTTGTGGTGGTTTGGGGTTGGGTTTTCCACTCCAGGGGAGGAATTTCATTAAGCACTGGGATGGGAATGAATTTGGGGCAGGTCTGGGCCTGAGCCTAGAAATATAATTTATAGCAGTGGTGAGGCCCTGTCACAGGCACAGATTGGAGCCCCTCTGCTCCAGAGCCAGGCTGGGAGAGCTGGGGGGCTTAACCTGGAGAAGGCTCCAGGGAGACTTGAGAGCCCCTTCCAGTGCCTGAAGGGGCTCCAGGAGAGCTGGAGAAGGACTGGGGACAAGGGATGGAGGGACAGGACAAGGGGGAATGGTTTCCCACTGCCAGAGGGCAGGCTTAGATGGGATATTGGGAAGGAATTCTTCCCTATGAGGGTGGGCAGAGGCTGGCATGGATTTCCCAGAGCAGCTGTGGTTGCCCCATCCCTGGAAGTGTCCAAGGCCAGGTTGGACAGCGCTTGGAGCAACCTGTAACAGCAGAAAATGTGCCATGGCAGGGGGTAGGACTGGGTGGGCTTCAAGGTCCCTTCCTCCCAAGCCATTCCATGGTTCCATGGCTGAACAATAAGATGCTATCTGTGAATTCCCCCTTCCCGCAGAGTACGAGAAGGCCCAGTCGTCCCAGGACGCCGTGTCCTCCATGAACCTCTTCGACCTGGGGGGTCAGTACCTGCGGGTGGGCAAGGCCGTGACGCCCCCCATGCCGCTCCTGACCCCGGCCACGCCCGGGGGGCTCCCCCCGGCTGCTGCCGTTGCTGCCGCGCTGCCACCGCCAAGATCACGGCACAGGTGAGGGCTGGCACGGGTGAGGGCTGGCACAGGGACAGAGCACAGGGACAGAGCATGGCACAGGGACAGGGCACAGCACAGGTGAGGGCTGGCACAGGGACAGAGCACAGGGACAGAACATGGCACGGACAGAGCACAGCACAGGGGCAGGCACAGGGACAGAGCATGGCACAGGGACAGAGCACAGCACAGGTGAGGGCTGGCACAGGGACAGAGGACAGCACAGGGACAGAGCATGGCACAGGGACACAGCAGAGGGACAGAACATGGCACAGGGACAGAGCACAGCACGGACAGAGCATGGCACAGGGACAGAGCATGGCACTGGTCAGGGCTGGCACAGCTCAAGTAGGGTACAGGGACAGCTAGAGCACGGCACAGGGGAGGGACAAAACCTTGGAATTGTTTTGCTCTGCCATGTTAGAAGCCCCATGAAAACAAGGAGGAGAAGGATGTGGGTAATTAAATCAGGAGCATAATGGCCTGGAAAGCAACAGCAACCAAAACCACTGGGATCCTGGGGTGTATTTTGGGCACATTATTTCCATATGGAAGTGTCTGGGGTTTAACTGGTTGTTCATCTTGAATGTTGGAATTCTGAGTATCTGAATCAGGGTGTTTATTGGGATTGGAGTTCCAGGAGAATGTTTCTAATCCAAGGCTTGGTGGCTCGGGGTTTCCCAGATGGGCTGGTGCCACCTTTGTGGTTCCCAGCAGCTCCAGGAACTCCTGGGGATCGGAGTGTCTGGCGTTTCTCCAGTGTGGAACAGCTGGAGTTCCTGGGCAGGACTGACCTGGCTCCCTGTTCTCCCTGTGTCCCACAGGAGGCCGTGGCAGGAGCTGCAGTTCTGGGCACTCTGGCGACGCCGGGCCTCGTGTCCCCGGCCCTGACCCTGGCCCAGCCCCTGGGGGCTCTGCCCCAGGCCGTGATGGCAGCACAGGCCCCTGGAGTCATCACAGGTGGGGTCCCCTTCCCCTGGCACCTGTGTGTGACACCTTCCCCTGGCACTCATGTCACCTGTCCTCCTGTCACCTTCCTGCTGGCACCTGTGTGTGTCTTCTTCCTGCTGGCACCTGTATCGGCTGTCCTCCTGGCACCTGTGTGTCCTCTTCCCTTGTCATTTGTGTGTCCCCTCCCCTTGCCACCTGTGTGTAATGAGTAGGGCAGGGCCATGGGTTCCCAAGAGGAACTGAGGAAAAAGCTGGATAATGGGCACTCTGTGCAGAATCCCATCCCCCAGGTGTCCCTGTCCATGCCCTGGTGTCCCTGTCCATCCCTAGGTGTCCCTGTCCGTCCCTAGGTGTCCCTGTCCATGCCCAGGTGTCCCTGTCCATGCCCAGGTGTCCCTGTCCATGCCCAGGTGTCCCTGTCCATGCCCAGGTGTCTCTGTCCATGCTCAGGTGTCCCTGCCCATGCCCTGGTGTCCCTGTCCATGCCCAGGTGTCCCTGTCCATGCCCAGGTGTCCCTGCCCATGCCCTGGTGTCCCTGTCCATGCCCTGGTGTCCATGACCATCCTCCCTGTTCTCTCCCAGGTGTGACCCCCGCCCGGCCGCCCATCCCAGTGACCATCCCGCAGGTGGGGGTGGTGAATCCCATCCTGGCCAGCCCCCCAGCCCTGGGGCTGGTGGAGGTGAAGAAGGAGAAGGAGGAGGAGGAGGTTTTCCAGGAGTCGGAGCGGCCGGAGATGCTGAGTGAGCAGGAGCACATGAGCATCTCGGGCAGCAGCGCCCGGCACATGGTCATGCAGAAGCTGCTCCGGAAGCAGGAGGTGGGTGCCGGGCTGGTGCCAGCTGCCAGGATAATCCCAGGATTATGCCAGGAACACCCTGCAGGCACCTCCGAGCTCGGGGGGCTCAGGGTGCGCCTGGCAATGGGCCTTGCTCTGCCCTCAGGATCTGCTGACAAGGGCCTGCAGTGCCAGGACAAGAAATGGCTTCCCACTGCCAGAGGGCAGTGATAGATGGGATATTGGGAAGGAATTCCTCCCTGGGAGGGCGAGGAGGTCCTGGCAGAGGTTGCCCAGAGAAGGTGTGGCTGCCCCATCCCTGGAAGTTTTCCAGGCCAGGTTGGAGCAACCTGGGCTAGTGGAAGGGATGGGGAAGAACCTGGAATGTCCCAGGTGTGCCAGGGCTGGGCTGGGGTGGAGCCTGGAATGCCACAGGGGTGTGACCCACCTGTGTGTGCTGTCACAGCTGCGGAGCGATGGAACACCTGGGGAATCCTTTGGCTTTGTTGGGAAGGGAGGGAAGATGTAAAACCAAACAGGGTGTGATGGTGGTGGTGAGGGAAAGCCAAACACTACCCGGATAGCAGCAGCACAGGGACAGTGGCAGCAGTGCCCCGGCCCCCTGTGCTTCCAGGATGTGTCCCAGGAAAGCCCAGGACATGGGACATGGCATTCCCCGCCTGGGCCACGGTGCTTGGGATGCCCAAGGAAGGAAACTCAGTGCCTGTCCCTGAGCACCCGGGCCGTCAGTGCCGTGGGATGTCTGGGAGGAGCCACGGGGCTCTCCACGCCCTAATTCCCTGCTCCTTTCCCTCGCAGTCCACGGTGATGGTTCTCCGCAACATGGTGGATCCCAAGGACATCGACGACGACCTGGAGGGGGAGGTGACGGAGGAGTGCGGGAAGTTCGGGGCGGTGAACAGGGTGATCATCTACCAGGAGAAGCAGGGGGAGGAGGAGGATGCCGAGATCATCGTCAAGATCTTCGTGGAGTTCTCCATGGCCTCAGAGACTCACAAGGCCATCCAGGCGCTCAACGGCCGCTGGTTCGCCGGCAGGAAGGTGGTGGCTGAGGTCTACGACCAGGAGAGGTTTGACAACAGCGACCTGTCAGCGTGAGCCAGGAACCCGGGAACCGCCGGCCCGGGATCGGGGCAGCCCCCAGCTCGGATCTGATTATGGGCCCAACTCTGATCCTGGGAATTAGCAGAGCTTGGATCTGGGGGATCGGCTCAACTCCAGTCCCGGGGATCAGCCCAACTCTCGTCCCAGGAACCAGCCAAGCTTGGATCTGGGCAATCGGCCGAGCTCAGATCCGAGGGACTGGCCCAACTCTGATCCCAGGAATCAGCTGAGCTCAGATCCGAGGGACTGGCCCAACTCTGATCCCAGGAATCATCTGAGCTCAGATCCGAGGGACTGGCCCAACTCTGATCCCAGGAATCAGCCGAGCTCAGATCCAAGGGACTGGCCCAACTCTGATCCCAGGAATCAGCCAAGCTCAGATCCAAGGGACTGGCCCAACTCTGATCCCAGGAATCAGCCGAGCTCAGATCCAAGGGACTGGCCCAACTCTGATCCCAGGAATCAGCCGAGCTCAGATCCGAGGGACTGGTCTAACTCTGATCCCAGGAATCAGCTGACTGATCAGAGGGACTGGCCCAACTCTGATCCCAGGAATCAGCGAGCTCAGATCGAGGACTGGCCCAACTCTGATCCCAGAAATCCCAGGAATCAGCCAAGCTCAGATCCGAGGGACTGGCCCAACTCTGATCCCAGGAATCAGCCAAGCTCAGATCCAAGGGACCAGCCTGAGCGATCCCAGGGCTCGGCTGGGCTTGGATCTGGGGTCAGAGCCCAACTCCAGTGCCAGGGCTCGGCTGAGCTCAGCTCCAAGGGATCAGCCCAGCTCTGCTCCAGGGAATTGGCCACGCTCAGCTCCGAGGGATCAGCTCCGAGGGATCGGCCGAGCTCAGCTCCAGGCACTGGCCCTGCCCCGTCCGCTTCCCGGGATTTTTGTAGCCATGTGCAAAGGACATTCCAGGGTGGGCACAGGGATCTGGGGTCTGGGGCCTTGGGATAAAAGCGTAAACAAAGTTGGTGTCACCTGTGTGTGTCTGTGATGGGGCTGGCACTGGGATGGCACCTCCTCAGCCTGGGCTGGCACCAGTGTGGTACCAGTGTGGCACTGGGATGGCACTGGACACGCCCTCGCCGGTGCCCCTGCCCGCCCTGTGCTCCCTCAGTCGGGGCCCTGCAGAACCTTCAGGGCAGGAGCAGCCCTTTTCCTGCAGGATGGGCCTCAAGGGCTGGGGATGGAGCGGGGGGGCCTCACCCTTGGGGGCTGTGCAGGGAGGGGCTGGGTGTGCTTGGAGGGAGCCCCGATCCAGAGGGATGTGGGGTGGGAGCCCCGATCCAGAGGGTTGTTGGGTGGACCTGGAGTCCTGGCAGCAGGGAAGTCGAAGCCAAACCTGCAGCTGAGCTTGGGGGTGTCCTGCAGCACTGTGGGGGAACCACCCAGGGCTGGAATCACTCAACCAGAAGCAGAGCCGGGATGCTGGGATGTTGGGAAGGCAGGCTGAAGGGATGTTGGGATGCCAGAATGAAGGGATGCTGGGATGTAGGGGGTGGGGGTGCCCAGATGTTGGGATGCTGTGTCCATGATACCATGCATGCTGTGGTGTCCTGATTCCATGTCTTTGGCATCCCTGAGGTTTCTGGAGCAGCTGCACAAACTATTGAGCAGCCCTGCGTGGTGGCTCCTGTTGAAGGAGGCTCTGGGATTTAGGGAGAACATCCCCAAAATGCTCAGGGAAGGGTTAGGGACACCCGTGGCTGGGTGTGGGGACACGGTGGGGGTGGCAGCAGGGCACCAGCTCTGCTGGGACAGGGGCAATGGGGGTGGGGCAGGGGATGGGGGTGGTGGGGCTTTGGGCATCACACAGCTCCAGCTGCTCTCCTGGGATGGGATGGATTGCTCTGGGCTGGGATTGGGATGGGATAAATTGGATGGTGAGGGGCAGGATGGATTGGATTGAGATGGGAGGAGATGACACAACACAACATGGCAGGGTGTGACTTGTTGTGGGACAGCTGGGTCTGGTGGGAAACCCACCAACTGCCCCAACCTCCCCTTGGATCCTCCAGATACCCCCTGACTCCCCCTGAGCCCCCCACCAGCTCCTCCTGACCTCCTTCTCCTGTCCCCACAGGCAGCAGTGTCCCAAGGGACACCCCACACCTCGGGGGGCTCCTCCTGGCTTTCGTATGCATTTCATAGAATCATAGAATCATAGAATAGATTGGGTTGGAAAAGACCTCCAAGATCATCAAGTCCAACCCCTGATCCAACTCTAATTACAATATCATGGCACTAAGGGCCATGTCCAATCTCTTTTTAAAAACTTCCAGGGATGGTGAATCCACCACCTCTCTGGGCAGGTCGTTCCAATGATAAATTTAAAAAAATAAGGGTTAATTTCTTCTGCTCCTGCCCCGGGGAGCCAACACTGGCACTGTGGGTTCCTTGTTTCCGTGGTGTCAGGGGCTGGAGCAGCTGCAGGGCCTGTGCTGGTCCCATTGTGGGCTCCAGGGACCTTCTTTTTCCCCGGAGGGCTCTGAGCAGCGTTGGACCCCAGAGCCCTGGGCCAGGCCCCAACAGGCTGCAGCCCTTTGGGTCCTCTCTGGGGGTGCCAGGGTGACACCACCACACCTTCTTAAAATATTTCACTGGTAAAAGACACTACTGGAGTTTAAATATTTTACTGGCTCTTCTGGCACAGAATCCAAATATTCGACCGAAATTTTGAAGGCAAATAAGCAAATAAACTACTGCAGTTCCCCGTAATTTTCGTGCACAAACTCTGGATGAAGACTTGCTCGGAAAGAGCGAGTGTTTAGGGGACCCCGTTCGGCTTGGAGTCGGGTGGGGCCGCTCGGCTTAGAGTCGAGCAAAGACTTCCTCAGGAGCAGTGTGTTAGTGAGATCCATCCGGTTGGGGAAGGGACCGTTCGGCGAGGGGCTGAACGAAGGTTTACCCAGGGAGAGGTAAGTATTTTGTGGGACCCCTTTTTCGGTTGGGAGGGGATCCCGGAGTGCGAATAACTGAGACGTCCGTCGGGACGGAGTGAGTGCGGACCTTCCGGTAGTGCGTTTCCCGTATCCCGCGAGGGACCGGGCCACGAAAGAGGTGAAACAAGTGAAGTGTGTGTGTGTGTGTGTGTGTGTGTGTGTGTGTGTGTGTGTGAGAAGGCACTCCGGAAGATGGGGCAGAAGAAAAGTAAATCTTCTGCTCCCGTGGGTGGTCGTAAGATACCACAGGATGTCCCTCAGGGTGAGGAGAAACTTGGAGATGAGGTTAAGACGAGTAGCCACAAGGAGAGGTGGCAGAACATTTCCCAGGAGGAGAGACGATTTAAGAATGAGTTTGCAGTGAAACTGCCAGGCATACCACCAGATAGTCCTTTAGGGATGATGATTACGTATTGGAATGATTACCCCTCTAGGGAAGGAAAGTCGAGGGAGAAAATGGCGCACTACTGTATGGAGGTGTGAGGAGGAAAGCAAATAAGGCAGGATCATTTGTACTGGCCAGTGTATGGCTCATTTGAGGAATGGATTTGTCAAGCTTTAAGTATTTATGTGAACAGTAAGGAACCGTTTAGCACAGAGGAGAGCGAGTATGCAAGTTTATGGATAAGATCGGATACTAGAGCTTACTTGTTCCCCTTAAGGGAAAAGAAGGGACGGAAAGGATTGCCCCCACCTTTGTACAGGTGTTCCACCATCACCTTTGTCTACCTCGCTGCCTCCGTGCTGTAATTCAGCCCAGAATGGACATCGGGATATACTCATCCCCCAACCGAGTTGATTTCCCTGTACCCCGACGAAGCTCAGGAATATGTTAAGTCGTTTGCACCTGCTGAGGCGCGAGAGTTCTGCCACTCTGTCCCCTGTTCCTGCCCACGTGCGTGACTCTGCCATTCTGCCCCCTGTCTCCACCCAGGCACGGGGGTCCGTCATCTTACCCACGCCCCCAAAGAGACTGGAGCCTCCACCCACAACTGAGGAGCAGAACTCTGACACTTCACCTTCAGCCATCCCACAGCTCAGTAAGTGGGAGCCCCCGGCCCCGGCGACAACCTCCTCATTCATACAGCAAGCCCAACTCTACCCTTTAAGGGAAACCGTAATGCCGGGAAGGCAGGGCGAGATAGGATTTGTTCCAGTTCCCTTGAGTTCAGGAGATGTTAGAGCATTCAAAAAGGAGATGGGGAGTTTATTGGACAACCCCATAGGTGTGTCCGAGAGGTTTGATCAATTTTTAGGTCCTAACATGTATACATGGGACGAGATGCAGGCGATTTTAGGAACATTATTCGCTGCAGAAGAGCGGGGAACGATTAGGAGTGCAGGAATGAAAAACTGGGACCAAAGGCACCAACAGGGTCCAGCCACTGATGTTAAACGGCCTCTTCAGAAACCTAACTGGAATAATCAGGATCCACGAGATAGAGATCATATGGCTGATCTTAGAGATATCATAGTCCAAGGTATAAGAGAGTCTGTCCCCAGAGGACAAAAATATTAATAAGGCTTTTAAAGAATACCAGAACAAGGTGGAACCTCCTACTGAATGGCTGGAAAGATTAAGAAAAAGTTTTCAGCTTTATTCTGGTCTGGACCCAAATAATGCCATGGGACAGGCTATGCTAAAGATGCAGTTTGTGCAAGGATCATGGGAGGATATCTGCAAAAAATTAGAAAAGATTGAGGATTGGCAAGATAAGGGCTTGGGTGAGTTGTTGAGGGAGGCCCAAAAAGTATGTGTACATAGGGATGAAGAAAAACTCGAGGAAAGTCAAAAGAGACAGGAGGAGAATCAGAAAAAAAACCAGACTAAGATTCTAGTGGCTGCTATAAGAGAGGGACGAAGAAGAAACAAGAGCCAGAGGCAATGGACCCTTCAAGGATCCGATAGGTAAGATACCTCAAAGAATCACGGACAAGGGGATAAAAGTGGAATAGAATGTTATTATTGTGGCAAAAAGGGACATATGAAGAAAAATTGTAGGAAGCATATACAAGATGAACAAGTGTTCAAAGAGGATTAGGGGTGTCAAGGGCTCTATCTGCTGGGGACCCGAAAAGTCACAGAGCCCTTGATAAAACTTAAATTGGATCCTCAGCAACAAGAACTCGAGTTCCTAGTGGACTCAGGGGCAGAAAGATCAACTGTCCAGAGAATTCCCTGGGGTTGTATGATCTCTTCTGACACAGTTCAAGTTGTAGGGGCAAAAGGGGAACCATTCAAGGTACCCCTTATTAAAGATGTGGAAATAGAAACCCACAATAAATATGCATTAGGAACATTCTTACTGGTCCCCGAGGCAGATTGTAATTTATTGGGAAGAGATTTAATGACAGAATTGGGGATAGGTTTGGAAACAAAAGAGCAAAAACTACAAGTCAAGATACATGCTCTCACAACAGAAGACGAAAAGAGGATAAATCCTGAAGTGTGGTACACCCCTGAGACTATAGGGAAATTGAACATAAAGCCCTTCAAAATCTCTATCCAGAATCCAGGGGATTTATTCTTTATAAGAATAAAACAATACCCTATTTCTTATGAGGG